GATGGAGGTTGATTGGATCAGACAATATTTTCATGGAGTGGTCCTAGGGTCAGGATTGTCAGCATGGGAATAAAGATTTGGTTGTATAGTTCTCTGCTGTTTGCAAAGCACTCTTCATGTGCATTAAGTTTGGTTTATATACACAGCCTCATGTGATCAGCACCTGGGGAAACTGAGTCTCGGAGAAGTTCAGTACCTTTGCCACGCCGACAGAACGTGGTAAAATCCAGATGCTAGCAAGCACTTACTGCTGCAGATTCAGCGCTCTCTCCAATAGGAAAGGACATTTTTCTCTCTTTCTCCACCCTCCATGGAACACAGGAATGAAAAAAAAGGCTGGGAAGTCCAAAATCACACAGGCTAGAAGGAATCCATGCAAGTTCCACCTATAAGCTGTGGCCGCCTGACACAGCATCCTGGCACGGCCTCAGGAACTTCCCAGGTCAGCCACATGCCCTGATGTTCCTGCATCTGCACAGAACTATAAATGTAAGAAGGCCAAGTATGCCAGCAGCAGGCTGATTGCTGCAATGTGTTCTCAGTCTTTATGCCTGAGAGCATGTCACTGACCCCCTCCTGGATCTAGAAGCCCAAGCCGAGGCTGAGAAGTTATTTGGGGGCAGGCTAGGGAGAGGGGTGATGTTAGGGAGGGAGTAGGTTGGATGTGTTTACAACTCATTTCCACTCTGACTATAGAGCAAAGGCCACTTGGGCTCGGATCCCCGTTGAAATAAATGTGCCAGTACTGGAAAATTCCCAAGATGCTAAAACTCAGACCCAGTTCCCAGAGGTAGAAGCGGGTACAGGATAGGTCATTCTCTGGGCAAGATACTTTCCCCAAGATACCTCTCTTAAGGTTCTGCTCTTAAGAGAGGAAAACTGCCCATGGAGATGTTTATTTCTTCCCTCCTTTTCCCCTTCCTTTTATCCTTCTGTATTTAACAAATACCTGAAAGTTGCCTATTCTACAGTGACCTAGGCCTTTCGAAGTACAGGTATAGACAACATTGGCCCCACCTTTAAGATGCTTGGATACAAGAAAAAAACAACCCCATTAAAAAGTGGGCAAAGGACACGAACAGATACTTCTCAAAAGAAGACATTTGTGTGGCCAACAAACATATGAAAGAAAGGTCAACATCACTGATCATTAGAGAAATGCAAATAAAAACCACAATAAGATACCATCTCATGCCAGTCAGAATGGTGATTATTAAGAAGCCAAGAAACAACAGGTGCTGTAAAGAATCTGGAGAAATAGGAACATTTTTACATTATTGGTGGGAATGCAAATTAGTTCAACCATTGTGGAAGATAGAGTGGCCATTCCTCAAAGACCTAGAACCAGAAAGACCATTTTACCCAGCAATCTCATGACTGGGTATATACCCAAAGGAATATAAATAATTCTATTGTAAAGATACCTGCACGTGTATGTTCACCATAGCACTATTCACGATAGCAAAGATATGGAATTGACCCATGGAATGCCCATCAATGATAGACTGGATAAAGAAAATATGGTATACATATGCCATGGAATACTATGCAGCCATAAAAAGGAACAAGATCATGTCCTTTGCAGGGACATGGATGGAGCTGGAAGCCATTATCCTCAGCAAACTAACACAGGAACAGAAAACCAAACACCACATGTTCTGACTTACAAGTGGGAGCTGAATGATGAGAACACAGACACAGGGAGGGGAACAACACACACTGGGGCCTGTCATGGGGGTGGAGGGAAGGAGAGCATCAGGAAAAATAGCTAATGTGTGCTGGGCTTAACACCTAGGTGATGGGTTGATAGGTGCAGCAAACCATCATGGCACACATTTACCTATGTAACAAACCCGTACATCCTGTACATGAACTCCAGAACTTAAAATAATAATAAAAAAAAGATGCCTGGATACTCAGACAGATGAGGATATTTGTAAATCAGGAATTGCTGAATCTCTGTCTGTGATGGTTCATTTTATGTGTCAACTTGGCTGCGCCATGGTGCCCAGATATTTGGTCAAATATTCTGGGTGTTTCTGTGGGGGTGTTTTTGGATGAGATTAACATCTGGAGTAAAGATCACCCACCATAACGTTGGTAGGCTTATCCAATCAGTTGAAGGTCTGTATGGAACAAAAGACTGACCTCCCTGAGCAAGGAGGAATTCCGCAGCAGAGGACCTTTGGACTTGAGCTGCAAAATCAGCTCTTCCCTGGGTCTCCAGCCTGCCAGCTCACTCTGAAGATTTTGGACTTGCCAGCCTCCATAACACATGAACCAATTCCTTCTCTTTCTCTACATATATACATCCCAATGGTTCTGTTTCTTTGGAAGTTCTATTCTTCTAATGTCATGTCTTTGGTCCATGCCTACAGCATCTCTTGCCTGGATCTGCAAGGCCTTCATAATGCCAGTATCTCCTTTCCCATCTTCCCTGTGGCTACCAGCATTCTGTCACCAAGTACAGATCTGAGTACGTTGTTTTGCTTGCAGTCCTTCCAGGTGCCCCACCTTCCCCATCAATGCCTTCTAACCTCAGTCATCTTTGCACTAGCACCTTTGCGATTTTTGTTATATCAGACTTTCTCTTTGCTGACGTCAAAAGGAAAGAAACAGAACTGAGAACTGAATTTCCTCCCTATGTTATTCAGTATCACTGAATATTAAATTCACATTTAACACTATCAGAAAGTATTCTATCCCACATTTTGGGGAATGTTGGGTTACAGAATAAAACCCATTCTCCTTTACTTTACATGACCTCGAAGATCCTTTAGCATCAATAAGTACAGTTATCTCTTGGTATCCATGGGGGATTGGTTCAAGATACACAAATCCCTGATACAAAATGAAGCAGTATTTGCATATAACCTGTGCATATCCTCTCACATACTTTAAGTCATCTCAAGATTACTTGTAATACCTAATGCAATGTCACTCATCACTGCATTTGTGTGCATTCAGTGTTGTAGGTGGCACATGGCAAATTCAATTTTTGCTTTTTGGAACTTTGAGGATTTTTTTTTCCTGAATATTTTCAATCCATGATTGTTTGAATCCACTGAACCCATAGGTACAGGGATATACAGGGCCAACCGTATGTATTAAGTGTTGGCAATGTGCTAGGCACCAAGCAATTCATCTTTAGTCCTTCCTCCAAAACGCCAAAGTGATTCCCCTGTACCATTCTCTGAGAAGTACGCCTTTTTTCTTTGCTTCCTGGAGAACTCATTCTGGAGCTCTGAAATCCAGCTACCTCTTTGTAAAATGGTCTCAAAGTATTACTTCAGCCCCCAGCAGTCCTCACTTCTGTAACAGCATTTATTGTTGTCACACTGCAAATATTAGGTTGATGCAAAACTAATTGCAGTTTTTGCCATTATTTTTAACAAAAAAAACCACAATTACTTTTGCACCAACCTAATATGTGTTTTTCTCCTTGGCTGAAGCTCAAAGGTGAAGGAGCATATCTTATTCATTGTTAGGAGTTTTCAAGGGGACCTCTCTGTTTCCTGCCTGATTTCTGCACACAATGAGAAATAAAACAAAAGACAGGAAATGGGGATCACACTATCACGATTTTTTGTTGTTGTTGTTGTTCTTGTTTTTTAGATTAAGACTAAATTAGAGAATTTAGCTTTTGCGTGAGACTAAATAGCCCCGTTAGGTGAATCCAGAATTAGGCTGTCTCACCGGCTATGCAAGGACCACACAGGTAGGCAGGCTTCCCTACAAAGGGTAGAAGAGTCTGTCCTTGGCGAAGTGGCTCCGTAAACTTGCTCTCTAGAAAGCAGCTGTCTTCTAGGAGAAAGAAGAGCAGGCTCGGTTCTACAGCCCAGTGTTTTCCTTCCCACATTTGCCAATCAGGGGCTCATAGGGAAACATCTCCCTTCATCCAGCCATGGAGTGAGGCAGGGGTGTTTTACCTGCTAGGATTAAACTCTTGGATTGCACAGCTTATACCATTGCAGAAAACCAGAGGGACAGAACCTCAGACATTAGCTATCTTGACCAGTCCTCTCATTTTACATATGAGGAGACTGAGACCTAAAGAAAAGGGACTTGCCCAAGGTCACTTCATTCTTACCTGAGTGATCTGTAACTTTAATCTGTAATTTTCGAGGTAGATAAGTACTATTGAGTAATATTGATTAATATTGCCTGCCACCCCTTGGCAATGCTGCCAAAATTCCCAGCCCCATTCTGGAATGATTACTCAGCTAGAACCCTGGGATCCGGGTGCTGTAAGTTTGGCCCCTGGGATATCCTGGCATGGGCCTGTAATTGTGGATTAAGGAAACCCAGTCCTTGGCTAACTCAATTCTCTCCACATAATGAAAAGAGGAGAAAATACACATTTAATGCATTTTAAGGAGCCTTGTTTACTTTTGAATCCTGGCCTTTTTTCTGACTTAATTCTTGGCCACTGTAAATTACTTCAAAAAATGATTTGAGAATAGAGAAGGGGCAGGGAGGCTGAGAAGCTGTCTTTAACATTTTATCTTCCTTTGGCATGATTTAGGATTTTAATTCTGAAGCACGATAAGGAGGAAGAAACGGCTCTTGGCCGCAGACAAGCAGAATCACTTTAAATGAAGATAGAGTGTTATGCTTCAGCATTTCCTCTAAAACTACCTAAAGAATAAAGCCTCTCCCAGCACTGCTTAGAATAGAGGCCATTTCTAATTCCTCATTAACGGGAATAGGAACAAAAGTATTCCAAAGCAAAGACTTACTTGAGTTCACTGCTAAAGCCACTACATCAAGCTGGAGGTGTGGGGGGAGAGAAAAGGCTGAAAATTAACATCATTTCTGGAAAATAATCAGTTTAAATGCTTTTGTAACTTCATCACTATCTACCCGGGGAAAAACATTATTATTCAAGCCTCCTATGTGTCTCAGAGTCAGGAGCTTCCAAACCAAGAAAGGAAGAAACGGGCGGGTTATTTACGAGTTCCCTCCCTCTCGCAGTTTTAAACCACTGCAAAATAAACCCGTTTGTTAAGTCTCGGGGACCAACGCTGGGCGAACCAGCCCCGCTCCGCAGGGGTCTGCGCGGCTGGCCTCGTCCGCCCCCTAGCGGACCCGTGCGATAGTGCAGCCTCTGCCCCAGAGCACAGCGCGGCATCCAGACGCTGTCCGCGCGCTCATCCTCGGCGGCGCTCCTCGCTCACCTCCTGTACCCATCCAGCGACCAGCCAACTGCGGCGAGGGGATTACAACCGAGGCTCCAGAGTCAGAGACCTCAGCCTAGCATCACATTAGGTGCTGCCGGCAGGCCATCCCAACTCGGGCCGGGAGCGCACGCGTCACTGGGGCAGTCAGTCGCCGTTCAACTTTCCTGGGGGGAGTCAACTTTAGGTTCACCTGCGGACTCGGTGCAGGTAGCTGGGTGCTAAGCAGGGACGGACGGGATGGCTAGGGCCGGTGGAGCCATCGGGACCCGAGTGGAGGTGGTGGGATGCCTCGCACTCCTTGCTCCTGGAGGAGCGCGGGGTGTTCCGAGAGATTGTAAAGTGACTTCTCGGGATTGAGACCCAGAGTCCTTGATTATCTGGGTCCAAAGCGCAGGCCGGGGGTTCCTGAACCTTCGAGGCTGCCGGGCTGGGGAGGAGCTCCGCGGGAAGTGTCTCTGCCAGGGTCTGGGAACAGCGCTTGGGCATCCTGGGCTTTGAGGTAGGGGTTCCCCCAGGAGGGACTGCGGAACCGGGTTTCCACCGAAGCAGGTGCTGTGGAAGTTCAGGTAGTGACGGCTGAGCGTCTCAGAAAGTGGGGTTAGACGGGGATGGCCCTGAGCTGGGGTTTCCCAGGCAAGTGGCTGTTTGGGGATTTCCGGAGGAAGTACTTGAATTAACGTTTACTGGGAGAGGGGCTGGTATGGGGGTCCCGCGGGAGGTGGATATGCTGAGGGTCGGAGCGTGGGGCGAGTAGGTAGTTTGGAGATCCCTCGGGGAGGTGGTTTGGTTTTAGAGTCCCAGTCCCGGAGGAAAGTGGCTGATTTTGACCCTCCCATCTCCCCCAGTGGAAGCCGCTGAACATCCCAAGGAACTGGCACGCTGGGGGCTCTGGGCTTGTGGCTGCTAGAGGATTCCCGCTCATTTGCAGTGGCTCAGAGGAGGTACCTCCAACGGGGATTTCTGGGGTGGCGGCTGAGGAACCCGAGGCCGGCGGTTGTGCCCCGTGTTTCAGATGACTTGGGTTCCTGGGAATGGAACAAACACGCCCTACCCGCGTCGGAAGAGAAACGCGGCGGTCTCCTCACGGCCCTCCCGGTTTGTTTCAGGGTGGACCCAGCAGATCCGTCCGTGGAGTCTCCAGGAGGAGCCCCAGGCGCCCCTACACCCTCCGACACGCCGGATCCGGCCCCGCCGCGCCAAGCCGTAAAGGGCTCGAAGGCCGGGGAGCACCGCGGCCGCCAGGGTCATGGAGGGCGAGCTCGCAGCCAACTGGAGCACCGAGGCAGTCAACTCCAGCGCCGCGCCGCCGGAGGCCGAGGGCAACTGCACCGCCGGACCCCCGCGGCGCAACGAGGCCCTGGCGCGCGTGGAGGTGGCGGTGCTCTGTCTCATCCTGTTTCTGGCGCTGAGCGGGAATGCGTGTGTGCTGCTGGCGCTGCGCACCACGCGCCACAAGCACTCGCGCCTCTTCTTCTTCATGAAGCACCTGAGCATCGCCGACCTGGTGGTGGCAGTCTTCCAGGTGCTGCCGCAGTTGCTGTGGGACATCACCTTCCGCTTCTATGGGCCCGACCTGCTGTGCCGCCTGGTCAAGTACTTGCAGGTGGTGGGCATGTTCGCCTCCACCTACCTGCTGCTACTCATGTCCCTGGACCGCTGCCTGGCCATCTGCCAGCCGCTGCGCTCGCTGCGCCGCCGCACGGACCGCCTGGCAGTGCTCGCCACGTGGCTCGGCTGCCTGGTGGCCAGCGCGCCGCAGGTGCACATCTTCTCTCTGCGCGAGGTGGCTGACGGCGTCTTCGACTGCTGGGCCGTCTTCATCCAGCCCTGGGGACCCAAGGCCTACATCACGTGGATCACGCTAGCTGTCTACATCGTGCCAGTCATCGTGCTCGCTGCCTGCTATGGCCTTATCAGCTTCAAGATCTGGCAGAATTTGCGGCTCAAGACCGCTGCAGCTGCAGCGGCAGAGGCACCAGACGGCGCAGCGGCTGGCGATGGGGGGCGCATGGCCCTGGCACGTGTCAGCAGCGTCAAGCTCATCTCCAAGGCCAAGATCCGCACGGTCAAGATGACTTTCATCATCGTGCTGGCCTTCATCGTGTGCTGGACGCCTTTCTTCTTCGTGCAGATGTGGAGCGTCTGGGATGCCAACGCGCCCAAGGAAGGTAGCCAGGGCTGGGAGACCCAGGAGGAGGGAGCCTGGTGGCTGGGGGACGCCCTTATCTTGCTGCCTCAGAATGTCCAGGGGTCTGTGGACTTCCTGGGGGGATAAGAGGGTTTGAAATCCCACAGAGTCACTGTTCCATCATCCCTTGGCCAAGTGACTTAGGGCAATTAACCTCCCTGAGCCTCCACTTTCTCATCTGTGAGGTGGCAATAAGGATAAAAGTACCACCTGTCACCGGGCATAGGGGCATGCCATGAGAAAATGCAGTTAAAATCTTTAGCACAGTCCTTGGGCTGCATATGGGCTGTATGGTTTACTGTGGTGGTAGAACAGGTTCAAGGGACTCCATCTGCTTTCCCACGTGGTTAGGAGGAGGTAGTTAGGAGGAGATGGCAGAGGTAAGTTTGGAACCCCTGGCCAGGCTCAAACTCCTTCAAGTTTAAGTTCACATTAAGCTGAACTTCCACTTTAAGTTCAAGAAATCCATTTGAAGCCAAGAAGTCTGGTTTGGACAAGGACAGCCTTGCAGGGGTGGGCGATTTGTCCAGCCAAGCCCCTAGTAGTTGAAGCGGGTGCTGGGGGGCAGAGGATTCCAAGGGAGAGGTGAAGACAAATCCCCGAACCCCTCATCGAGTGGAGGTGATGAGTCTCCATGCAGAGAGGTGAGTACTGCAAGAAGTGGTGGGCAGGCTTAGGGAGGAGAGTGCCCAGGACTGAGACTTCACTTCTACTACTTGGGGAAAAGAGAAGAAAGCCTGGAGGGGGACATTCAAGTTTGAGGGGGAGGCTGGGTGATTTCTGTAGGCGGGGAATGTGCCTTCCAGGTTGGAGGACTGCTGAGAACAAGGCTGAGGGTGGGGCAATTGTCCATTCTTGGCCTGTGCCAGAAAGCTAGGAGGAGGGCGTAGAAGAGGGAAACCTAGGGAGAAAGCTTGGAGGAACAGAGGCACCCTAGGGCTCTGGGGTTTGTGACTGGTGCTGGGTGGCTGTCCCCAAGGCACAGAGCACCAGGCAGCTTCCTGTCACTCCCTACCCCACAACCCCTTTCTGGTAGCTCATGTGGAAAGAGCAGGAGGGGTGATTGCTAGTGGTGAATGATTTATAAGTTTTTGTTTGAAGGTAATTCCATAACGCGTGCTGGATGCCGGGGACTTCAAATGTTTGTAAAGAAAGACCAAAGGATTTGCTTTCACCCTTTTTGCACTCCAGACACGGCAAATGTCCCATTTCTGTGTGCATTCACCACTGCGCCCAATAGTTTCAAACACATGCACCTGGGAAGTTGAAATTTCAGTGCCAGCTGCTTTCATTCAGTTTGGTAACTTTGCTTTGGTCCTTTCTGGAAATCACAGACTCCAGGCTTTACGGAACCCTCCCAGTTAGCTCAGTGTTTGCTTTAGTGGCCAAGACACTGGTTATTCAATATTTACTGAACCTGTGTGGCCCCTGGTCACACCTTACAGAGAGGGTTCTAGAGCCCAGAGAGGGGAAGGCACTTGCACCAGGTCACACAGCAAGTCAGAGGAAGAGCTGGCATTTCCTGTGCCAGGATTCTTATGAAGGGCACGTGATGAGAGAGTGGGGTTGGAGGCAAAAGCCAGTAGTAGAAGTCTCTAAGTAAGGCCTTAGGCCACACCTGTTTCCTGGGCTGATCTGAAGAAACCAGATCCAGGTCTTAAGGAGCTCGAGCACCAACTGTCAAGGAAGTGAAACCAGCACCCCTTGGAGTAGATGCTGGAGAGATGTGGGGTCTAATCCTCCTCCAGCCCTTACTGGCTTTGGGATGTTAGATGAGAGATCCCTTTATTCCCCTTGAGCCTTAGTGTCTTGCTTTTAGAATGAGGACATTTCAGCATTCAGTTAATTGATTCAACAGACATTCCGCTCCTCTCTCCTTGGGGTCCCCTCGCCTCTCCCATTCATGTCTCGAGTCTCTGGTGATTTTTCTCCTTCCCTCTCCTCCCAGTTCCCTCCTCTGTGGCTTCCTGCTGTTCAGCCCGTCACCTGTGCTCCTCTTCTCACCGTGTGTCCTCCCTAAAGAAGGAGAGTGTGTGGGCAACACCCACATCACATGTACCATGAAGTAAAGTTTAGATCTTTTCTACACTTTAAAAGCATGTCAACAATTGATTTCTTTGTCTTAGAAACAAAAGAGAGAGAAAAAAAACAGACGCACACAGCTCCTGGCCAGAGTGGAGGTTATAGGCCTCTTGAGTGTTTATGGTCCTCTGAGGATTTTCCTGGGGATGAGACCTTCAGTAGAGATGGGCTCCTGCTCAAGGCCAAGGGGCAGGGAAAGAAGAGGACTTTAAGTATTTCAGGTCCTACTTCCCTTTGCTCCTTTAGGAATTCACGGGGAAGGGTGGGTGTTGCATGAAAACCCCGGGGCTTCTCTTGGTCCTCCTGGGCATTTTGTCCCGGGTGCTGAGAAGAATCCAAACACAGACTGGCAGGGATTCATGACGCTGCTGCAGCTGGGACCTCCCCGCTACCCCAAGCACACAGCCAGGAGCAGGAGCCCAGTCCAGATGTGAGCGCCTCATCAAACACCGAGGTGACGACGTGGACTCTGGCCACCACCAGCCTGGCCACAGCATGCCCAGGCCTCAGGGATGCAGGGGTCAGAGTGACTGTGAGCTCAGTTAGAACACCAGCCGTGTGTCCACTTGGCCTTAATTTGGATAATTGCAAGTAGCAGATGGAAGTGGTGTCTACATCACTTTCGAGATACCTCTCAACCCAGAGGCCACCAGGAAGTGCTAAGGAAGGAATAAAAGAGAACCACACTCGAGCTACCTCAAGAGGTTGTTATCGGAAAAGTGGAATTAATGCACAGCCTCACTTTCCTCTCCAAGAGGACAGAATTTAGAAGCAGAAATATCTAGACTGGGGCCCTTACTCCACTCGTCACCTGAGGAGCCAGTACTGGAGCCTGTGGCTAACAGTGTGACGTCATGCTTGCAGGCGGAGCAGGCTCACAGGGAGGCAGGAGAGGTGGGGCACACATGGGTCTGTTCCTGCTTTATCATGAAAACCCCAGGGAGGTAGGGAAGCTTAGTCAATGGCCACCATCAAGGCTGCCAGAGTGGGTGGGATGTCACGCCTCTGGTGGCTGCAGATGTGGTGGCCCGGGGACCCAAAATCCCTCTCTCCTTCAGCGTTTGCTCTCTTTTCCATCTCTCCCTTGAGCGACTTCATTCCTTCATACACCTTCACAAATACCAAGGGCTGCCTTTATGGGTTTAGAGCTCACCTTATTCCAAAAGTAATGTGTGGTGGTGGACAAAAATTTAGGTAACTCAACAAGATAAAAAAGATATGAGGAAACTGGGATAAAGCAGGCAGTAGGGAGAAGAAAAGGAAAATAAAAATATTACAATAATAGTAGCAATAATACTATTAATAATAATAAAGTCTCTCTGTGTATAGACAAGCTCTACACGTGGTTACTTTTTATAAGTACCAAAGAGGAAAACTTTGAGCTTAAATATTTCCGTGATTCAGAAGAAAGAGCCAATGGGAGCATCTGAGTAATTTAATGAGATCCATTTTTCAAAGGAGCCGGATGCTGTTGGGTGCTGACTTGATGAGGCTGGTGAGACTGGATGCCCCATGCAGGGTTTGATGAGCCCTTTATATATCTTCCAGAATTAAATTCCAAAGCCAAAGATTTGGCACCAGCCTTTTCCCTTGAACCCAGTGGCATTTGCTATGCTGCTGGTTGCAGGGGCTCTGACCCTGGGGCAGTTCTGAGGGAGGAGATGAGGATGAGGAGGGAGTTTGGTAGAGTGGGGCTGTTCGTATTTCTAGGGTTGGTTGATGTTGGCTGAGTGTGGTGGACAGGATATGGGGTCTCTGTCTCTAGTCTTCTCCTTCCAGCATCTCCGTGGTAAAATGCCCAGTCTGGTGTCCTTAAGCCAGTTGTTTTACCTGCTCTGAGCCTCTGCCTCCTCCTCCATGTAATAAGGATAGCATGGCTCACTGCATGGGGTTGTGAGGATTAAATGGTGTTACCCATGGCCCCTTCCTGATAGACAAGGTGGGGATTCTTGCCTTGAGCCTGGGTGGAGGGAATGGGAGTGGACATCAGGCACAGGGAGGCTGGGAGGTGGGAGAGAAGCTTGTTAAGGCTGGAGAGGTGGACTGTTCCTTACTTGTTATGCCCAAATCCAATGTGTGGCTATTTTGTGTCACAACCCCAGGGGATGCCTTTTACTCCAGGGGATGCCTTTTACTCCAGGGGATGCCTGGTACAAGGCTGCACAGTCACTGATAGCTCAACCAGTGCTTGCCAAATACGTGGAAAATGGGAGCAGGGAGGTGAGTGAGACGGGGCAGGGATGGGCATGAAGAGCTGGACTCAGGAAGAATAGGGACTTTCTAAGTAGCCCTCCAAAACGGAACTGGCAACCTGGGAAAGAAAGGAGCGCCCCATCGCTGGGGGCGACCAAACATCTGTCAGGAGCGCTGGACCGGGAGGAAGGCTGACAGGCACAGGAGGCCTGGTTTGAACCGCTTCCCCATCTGTAGAATGAGCTTCCCAGCCCCTCCCTGTTTCCGTGGGACTGAGGACCATCTGGCATGTCCTGTCCACCTTTCCTTCTGTGAATGCTGTGCCTGAGGTGTGGGGGACCAAGGCCCTTGGAGGAGCTTGTTCTTGAGGTGACCCAGCGATGTGGAGAGCATGGTGGGCCGGCAGGAGGAGCTGTGACAGGATATTCACTCTGGGCCATGAACCGTGCACGAGCTCGGCCCTTCTGGGTATAAATCACAGTGAGATGGACAGTTAACTTCAGACTCTTATATGATTCGGTAATTGTGTGTTCTTTTATGTTCTTAGCTAATGTTAATGTTTTCCCTTTGGGTTTCTGCCCTGAGGTGATTTCACTTTCCATTTTTCCCTCCAAAGGTTTGATAAATAATAGCTAAAAAGACAAAAAACAAAAACCAAAAAACTCAAAGAAAAACAAACTCCAAACCAGCCTCTTGAGTGAGGCC